TTCTTCTCCGTATATATATATATATATATATTGTATGTTTCTTTACGACCATTCCATGATTGTTTCAGGGCACAAAAGTAGTTTCTGTTTTGTGGAATGGGCAACAATCGTTCCAATTTTTCTTGTCACTTTCCAACAATTTGCATTATCCTATCAAATCTCCAAAGCATGTCCTGTTCTCCTATTGTCGTTAAAAAAAAAAAAAACAAGAGAGAGAGCGCATACTCTTGATTTAACTTAGTTCGCATTTGGAGACGGTTTATGACAAATTAATAAAAAAAAAGGTACTTTGTTATTTTCCCCCTAAAACTAGTCCCTTAGTCAAAAATAAAATTTATGGGTTTAAAAAGTAATGTTGCATTTCAAAATTACGTTAAAATGGAATAAAAAAAATAAACAAAAACCCGGTGACGTACGGTGTCACGGGAGGGAGTGGAGGAAGAGACAGAAGACGGAAGACAGACGGATGCCGAAAGGAGACAGAGTTGATCACATGGACTCTCTGATTTTGATGTCCCATTCATCATCCTCCACACACGTACACGTACTCTATTCCTACTACGCAAAGATTTTTTTTGATTGTACATCACGTCCGTGAATCCTTAATGGTACCGACATCGAAACATTTATACCCTTTATTCGTTACGTATGGAGCGAAAATCCAATCGCAATATTTGATACGATAGTCCAATATATACGATAGTCTTGATTGGATGTAAAGCATTTTTTTTCTATTTTAATGCAAATCACCTTCAACCAAATATATATATATATATATAGGCTCAATGAGTAAAATTTAGCACGAAACATGAAAGATCACAAACTCATCCAAGCGATGTCCTCATACGAAACAAACAGCAAAATATCACACGGAATGATAGACTTTATTAGAATTTTTTTTTAATCTAGAAGTTTATTGGTATTTTTGGTCCAAATGTTCCCAAACGATTGGAAAAACCGATGTAAATGTCCCTTCCAAATAAAGATTCGAACTCCAGTTAAGAAGAAGTTAAACCACCCAAAACATTAGTATAAGAATTATAATATATATTGTACATATGTCTATATTTAGGGTTTTGACCTCAGATTTTCGTCTACTGACATTCTCTATATATAACGGTAGAGACAGTATAGCAAATGAAAGAGTCAGTGATATAAGTAGTTAGATTCAGTTATGTTTTGGTTGGGCTATACGAGGGTGTACCGAACAAAACCTCCTAATATAATCAAACCAAACATTTTATTTTTAAAAACAAGTATTCCCCCACGTTGACCACTAGATTTTTTTTGTCCGAATCTCCCTCTCAGCTTCAGAATTCTCCCAAATCTGCGGAATCTGTTGTCGGAGGAAACCGCCCCCACCAGCCAAAGTTCCCACGACATTGGAATCTCTCTTTTCAGAATGGGGAAGGGACCACCGATTCCACCAGACCTGGAGGCCGGGCCGCCGCCGCCTCGGCCACATTTCCGACCGCCTGTGCCCCAGCCATGGTCCGTGTGGCTCCGACCGCTCATCTTGGTGGCGAACTCGAACTTCGTCGCCTTCGCCTACACCATGTATGTGAATGACTGTCCCGTGAGCTCGGATGAATGCATCCTCTTCGACTTTCTCGGGCGATTGTCCTTCCAACCACTCAAGGAGAATCTCCTTCTTGGCCCTTCTGTTCCCACGTAAGAATTCTTGATCCTGAAAACATTTTTTGGGCTCCAATCTGTTTCGGAAATGTAAAACACGAGAATCCGAATTGATCCAGGCTGATAAAACTTGGAGCCCTTGAACGGAGACTAGTGCAGGCCGGTGAGAAATGGCGGCTCGTCTCTTGCATATGGTTTCACGGAGGACTCCTGCATTTGCTCACAAACATGATCGGTCTTCTATGCATTGGAATGCGGCTTGAACAAGAATTTGGATTCTGTAAGAATTTTGCTTACATACCCGTATTTCATCATCAGGAACCCTAAACCTTTGCTTATCTGATTAAGGCCTGATGAGATTACAGTTAGAATCGGAACATCGTACCTGATCTCCGGTCTCGGTGGAAGCCTAGTGTCTTGCTTGACAGACTCCGGAGGTGAACGGGTATCAGTTGGAGCCTCGGGTGCCTTGTTCGGACTACTCGGAGGGATGCTCTCCGAATTGATCACAAACTGGTCAATCTATGAAAATAAGGTAACGATATGACATTTCCTACAAGAGATTTTAACAACAACAAGAGTGATGTTTGTGTTTCTGAAGACTGATCTTTTTTCTTTCAGTGTACCGCACTCACGACATTAATTCTGATCATCGCGTTGAATCTGAGTGTCGGATTCTTGCCGCATGTGGATAATTCTGCTCACTGTGGAGGATTCATAGCTGGATTCTTCCTTGGTTTCGTCCTTCTTCTCCGTCCACAGTACGGATATGTGCATCCCAAATACATTCCTCCTGGATATGACATGAAGCACAAGAAACCAAAGTACAAGTGCTATCAACACATGTTGAGGTTTATAGCTCTAGCCATCTTGATCGCTGGGTAAGTTCACAAAAAAGACATGTTTTCTTTTATCTTTAACAACCAAATCGGCCGAAAACACACTGTCATAGTACTCAAACTGCATATACCATATGAAACACACGGAAACTAAAATTATGTGAAACCTTTGTTTCACAAACCATATATGATGATTTCCTCACATTTTGACAGATTCATAGGGGGATTTACTAAGCTTTTCCGAGGGCATACCATCGAGGATGCACCAATGAGAGATTTCAATTAGCAGCTTTGTAGCCAGCATTGGCCACACTCTCTGTAAAAGACTATTTGACACAATCCAAGGGGTTTTTTTTTTCCTATAGAGATATGAATGTCATCATCGGAAGTTTATACACCTGAGATCATGATTCAAAAGTACTACATATGTATCCAAGGCAAAAAGCTATTGTAACTTTACATCTGTATCAAAGCGTATATTAAAACTGTAGGAAGAACTTTTGCACCTCCTCCTATGTATCATATTGTATGATCGGGAAAGTTAATTCAATTCTCACATGATTCAGACCAACCAAAGCAAAACGTTGTCACACAAAAAAACCTGCAACATCTCGAAGTAATAACCTGACCCCATAAGAGAGAACTTACAGATGCACAAATTGCATAAAGAATGCAAGTCGTGGAAACTTGGAAATGGTAAGTCAGTGTGTTCCATGATCTTCAAAAGTGCTTCTGAATTTATGTATGACCTGAAATACAAAGAAAAGAAAAACGCAAAAAAGCATCGGGAAGAAGAGTAGAATTGTCGGTCTATATAGAACATATGTACCTATCCTTATTTACATAAATGAAGCTGGATATATCATCACGAGCTCTTCCTGATCTCATGAACAATTTCTCGCCCGCTTCGCTCTTTAGTGCTTCAAACCTTATTCTCCTGGAAAGATTTCATTTTTTATTTCCTCAAACCATATTTGTTTGTAAGCTTCTTGAACTTTAAAGTTGAGATCAATAACTTCAATCCAATACTGATCAGTTCCGATCGTGATCTTGTACAAATTTCACACCTACATTACATAGATCAAAGGCAACTACCCAAAGAAGATAAGATTTCCAAGATTCATCGAACACCAACTTACATCATACAGACCCTGAAACTGGAAAGGGACAACTGTATGTGTTCAAGCCTATATACATCGAGATGCCTATAAAACACCAAATTACATGTGAAACTTTATCAGACAGACATGAAGAATGATTATACGAGGATACAAATGAAGTAACCACAGAAACGGAATTTATTGAGCATCTAGACCAACTCAGTTTCTTCACCAAAACACTCGAGTACGATTTCATACCCGCTTCAATTTCTTTCAGATTTCAGAAAAAGAATAAACATGATTACCGTCGAAAAAAATGATTGGCCTCTGGTTTTGCTCAAAAAATATTGCAATTTCCACGGATTCGCGATGGAAGGAGGAAGGCGCGCGGATTAGCAGACGCAGAGGTTCTCAGGCTAAAATGCGCACACAGTGAGATGGTTAACTTCCCGCAACCCGCCGGAATACGAAGCGCGATGTGAGATAAAGCTCCGATCGCCTCGCCGGAGAAGGCAGAAACAGAATTCACCCGAGAACCAGAGAAATGGAAGGGGTATTTACGTAATAAGAGCAACGTATATGCCACGTCACAGTATCACTAGATTTTAACCGGGGTTGGTTTTCAGTTCATTTGGTAAACCGAATTCCTCAAATTGAAACCGGTTTATTTGGTAAACGTGCATCAAGACGGCACTGACTGCCCCCTTCTCCACAGCGACGGCTTAGCACCAACATTCTGCGATCTGAATTGTTTTGCTCGAGGAACCGGAGAGGAGGAGAAGATGGGTTGGGTCGGAGAAACCATAGATTCCGTGAAATCCATACAGATCCGTCAGCTCCTCACCCAGGCGATTAGTCTTGGTTCGATCTCTGTTCTGTGTAGACAGGAACTTTCTGATTACGATTTCGTTTTTCGTTTTTTTTTGTTAAATGTGATTCGTTTTTCGTTTGTTTGTGATCGAATTCTGTCGCATTGGGTTTTCCATGTCCGGAAGTAAAAGAAAATGGTTTTTAGGGTTTGCCGATGAATTAAACTTTCCGCTCATGTTGCGTTTTTTCTGAGAAAAGTTGAAACCTTTCCCGAAAAATTAGACACCCTTTCGTTTTGAAGTGCTCTAGCCGTTGGTTTCGCTGAATTATTTCACTGGAGAATTAAGTCCTGCAAAGATTATTGGTTATATACACACGAGATATGTATTAATTCTCTTCAGTTGAAATCCCATTTTGGCATAATTAGTGGTGCGTTGTGTAAGATTTGAGTGTAAATAACAAATGCAGAACTTGGGTTTATTGTCAAGATAGAAGTTTTATTCAGAATTAGGAAGTGGGGTGACTGGGCAAGTGATTTTATTCAGAATCAGGAAGATGAGTGACTGAGCTAGTTCTTTGTATCATCAGTGATTTTTCTACCAATGCATATTATTGAGATCAGTACTATTCAGATGTTGGTCGAATTTAGGAGATGGGCGAGATTATAAAAAAGTGCTCTGGTGTTTTCTGTGGTAGGCATGATCGTTACATCTGCCTTGATAATATGGAAGGCATTGATGTGTGTCACCGGCAGTGAATCCCCTGTGGTTGTTGTTCTATCTGGAAGCATGGAACCTGGTTTTAAGAGGGTTAGTGAGACTTAATCACACCTTTCTTCATAAGATTTCTTTTGCAACGCCCGAGTTTCTTTGCCATATCTTTGCTAACACTTTGAAAGAAGTAAACTTCGAGGGGGGGAGCATGTTATGTTTATTAACTTGCAAGAATATTGGGCATGATGTCAAACAGGGTGATATATTGTTCTTGCACATGAGCAAAGACCCCATTCGAGCAGGCGAAATTGTTGTTTTCAATATTGATGTAAGTGCCGTATGTTTGTCTATCTCCCCCTTTCTTGAATATATGTTCTGGTAGACAACTACCTTTCTTTCATTTGCATATTTCCTGACCTGACTGGTTTGTCTTCATGTTCTTTTACCAGGGTCGTGATATTCCTATTGTTCATCGAGTTATTAAGGTGATGATCAGTTTTCTACACCTGTCCATTCTAATATCTGAAATTCTTCATATTGATTTATAGTTGGTCTACAGGCATATGCTTTGGTTCCTACCTTAGGAACGATTTATGTAAACCTCCTGACTTATTTAATGATGAGTTTCAATATTGTTGGTATGGTCACACATCATAGGTTCATGAAAGGCAAGATACCGGAGAAGTGGATGTGCTAACCAAAGGTGATGTTTGTTGATTTGAATCATACCATTCATTTCCGTGGATTCTTTGGCACGCTTTCTCATTGTCACCATCTTCATCATCATCATCATCATCATCATCATCATAGTTATTGTGTTTCCAGGTGATAATAATTATGGGGATGACAGGCTTCTCTATGCTGAAGGACAGCTTTGGCTTCATCGCCACCATATAATGGGCAGGGCTGTCGGGTAAAATACTTAAACAACTAAGCTTTTGTTGCTCACATTTTTCATTTGTGATGTAAACCCAAGAGAGCTTTGTACGAAAAGATCGAATCTTTTTTACATAAGAGTTGGAGATCGATGGTCACAAATGGCTTCCTCTTAAAACCGTGCAGGTTCTTGCCATACGTTGGGTGGGTGACCATTATCATGACAGAAAAGCCTATTATCAAGGTATGGCATCATCGACAAAAGAATCATCCAAAACAAAGAATTTGATTTCGGGTTTTCTGATTCGGGATCTCATCTCATCTTTTGGCAGTATATTCTCATTGGTGCATTGGGTTTACTGGTTATAACTTCCAAGGACTGACCACCAAGATCAAAGCCATGTCTTCCTGGGCTCTGCTTCTGCAACAACTCCTCCATTATGAGAAATCCCCTTTTTAGCAAATGTAGTCTGTTGACAAGAATCAAGACAGGTTTTGTTAATGCTTAAGCTATGACTTCAATTTAGAATCAGAAGCAAATGTTTTGTTTTAATCCTTTTGGTTACCTCTTTTATAAGTTTATCATCCATTGCTGCTGTGCTCAATTACTACACAAGAGCATCACCTGCCCTCCTTTACTCCCCAGTTCTCATTTTGAATATTTTCTAAACACTTCAAAAGGAAAACAATAGGATTGTAATACTTGATATTATTTTAAAATTAAAAAAAATCATCTAAAAAGTCATTCTTTTAAAAATATATGACTATAATTTCAGTTCTCCATAAACTTAAATATAAAAATGTATAATTTATTGTTTTTAATTAACTTAAAATATGAAAATAGATTAGGTTTTAAGTATTTTTATGATATAGGATCTAATGCAATGATTTTAATTAGATATTTTTCAAAATTAATATTTTTTTTGTGTTTTTCTATTCAAACTGTTATTTTTTCTTAATATCTTTATTGTATATTTTATTATCAAATTTTAAAAAAAAATGACAGTTTGTACTCTTCACTAAATGTCATTTGGATCTAACTCCATGGCATATAGTCGAGTGCGAGACTCTTCCTCCAACGTTCATGTGTCGTGTCTCATCTCATGTCTAAAACCCTTCTCTCCCGCATCAGACCCCTTCACAACCCTAAACCCAAACCCATCTCCTCCATCACTCCCCGCATCAAGGAACTCGTCAACGAAACCCTTTACATCCTCAAGACCCGGGAAAACTGGCCAGAGTTTCTCGACGATCGCTTCACAGATGAAGAACTCCGCGCTTTGGATATTGCCCCCTTCGTTTTCGATCGAATTCGAGACCTGGAAGTCGGCATTAAGTTCTTTGATTGGCTGTCGAAACGACAACAGGATCGGCTTTTGTCTGATGGGCATGCTTCTTCTTCGTTCCTGAAGCTCTTAGCGAGGTTTAGGGTCTTCCATGAGATCGGTGCTCTGTTGGAAAATCTCAGAATTGAAAAGGTGAAGCCTACCCATGACGCATTGAACCATGTTCTTCGCGCTTATGCCAATTCTGGCTTTGTAGATAAAGCCCTTGAGGTTTATAAGTATGTAATCGAATCGTACGATTCGGCGCCTGATGTTTTTGCGTGTAATGCTTTGCTGCAATTGCTCGTGAAAAGTAAGAGACTTGATGATGCACGGAAGATATATAATGAAATGCGCGAGAGAGATGGTTGTGTGGATAATTACAGTACCTGTATAGTGGTGAAGGGTTTATGTAGTGAAGGAAAGATCGAAGAGGGTAAAAAGGTGATTGAAGACCGATTTGGAAGAGGCTGTGTGCCAAATATTGTGTTTTACAACATAATCATTGACGGATACTGCAAGAAGGGTGACGTTGAGAGTGCTAATTTAGTTTTCAAGGAGTTGAAATTGAAAGGGTTTTTGCCGACTCTGGAAACATATGGAGCAATGATAAATGGATTTTGCAAGAAAGGAGATTTTGTTGTGATTGATAGACTCTTGGCAGAAATGAAAGAGAGGGGCTTGAATGTCAATGTTCAGTTGTTTAACAACATTGTGGATGCCAGATATAAGCATGGTTTGGAGGTCGAGATTGCTGAAACTATTAGATGGATTGTGGCTAATGGTTGCAATCCTGATATGGTAACGTATAATATTTTGATTAATGGTTTGTGTAGGGCTCAAGAACAGGGTTTTATACATGCCTTTATATGCCCTCATTGCAGCAACCATTTTATCCATGTTCCCAAAATAAGTAGCTATATATGCATCACTGTTGATGGAGACATAATAATCCAAAGCAGCTTTTGTGTTGCCATGCATTCGGGTGAAATCTTCACGGTCAAGCAAAGCAGACTTGGTGAAGACATTTGTGTAAATGGAGGTGAAACCTTCCATCTCCATTAGACCATCCCCAGCTGCTAGATATATGTTTGTGCTTGTTGGGATGTTTAGCACTTGAAACATGAAAGCTGTTTCATTTGGAGTAAGAGGGCATTTGTAGGGAAGGGAAAATCAAAGAAGCTGGACAAATTTTAGAAGAAGCATTGCAAAAGGGGTTGACTCCTAACAATTCAAGTTATACTCCTCTAATGGATGCCTATTGCAAAAGCAACAAGTTTGATATTGCTTCTGATTTGCTTCTTCAGATGTCTGAAAGAGGATGCAAACCTGATATAGTTGTGTATGGAGTTCTTATCCATGGTCTCGTCACATCAGGGCATGTTGATGACGCATTAATGATTAAGGACAAATTGTTGAACAGAGGTACTTTGCCAGATACGGCTATTTACAATATTCTGATGAACGGATTGTGCAAGAAAGGTAGGTTTCCAGCTGCCAAACTCATCTTCTCAGAGATGCTTGACCAGAATATTTTACCAGATGCTTTTGTGTATGCCACACTGATAGATGGATTCATCAGGAATGGTGATCTTGATGAGGCGGGAAAGGTCTTCTCACTGTCAATTGAGAATGGTGTGAAAGCTGATGCTGTGGGTTACAACACTATGATAAAGGGGTTTTGCAAATATGGAAGCATGGATGATGCATTGGTATACGTGAATAAGATGACGGAAGAGCATCTTGTTCCTGATGAGTTCACTTATTCGACAATCATTAGCGGGTATGTAAAACAACAGGATATGGCTAATGCACTGAAGATTTTTCAGCAGATGATTAAGAGGAAATGTAAGCCAAATGTGGTAACTTACACCTCTCTTATTAATGGGTTTTGCTGCCAGGGTGATTCCAAAATGGCTGAAGAAACCTTCAGAGAGATGCAATCTTGTGGCCTGGTGCCAAATGTGGTGACCTACACAACGCTTATCAGGAATTTTGTTAAAGTGGGTAACCTTGAAAAAGCGGTTTGCTATTTCGAACTAATGCTGGTAAACAAGTGTGTCCCTAATGACGTGACATTCAACTGTTTCCTTCAGGGCTTCGTGAAGAATGCAGCAGATGAAATTCTTGCCAAAGGAATTGGTTTTCATCAGGAACAAAAATCTCTGTTTGTAGAGTTCTTTCAGAGAATGAAATCGGAAGGATGGTCTCAGCACGTTGCTGCTCACAATTCTATCCTTGCTTGTCTCTGTGTACGGGGAATGGTACCTGCTGCTTGCAAATTTCAGGATAGGATGGTGAGGAAAGGCATTTCTCCTGATCCCATTTCTCTGACGGCTCTGGTACATGGTTTTTGTATGGTCGGAAACTCTAGTCAGTGGAGGAACATGGATTTTTGTACTTTAGATGAGAAGGGTCTTCATGTAGCTCTTAGGTACTCTCAGATTTTAGAGAGACATATACCTCAAGCTGTGGCATCCGAGGCTACACTTATTTTGCATTCCATTGTTGAAAAAAGTAAACGCCAAGGATTCGGGTAATCATAGAATCTAACTAGATAGATGAGTTAGAAATGTTCAAGGACATCATCACCAGGTTGGACACAGCTGGAAGTCATTTTGGATGGCGTTTTGGCCGGTAGATAGATCAATGAACCGTGATAGGCATCGCGGTCCAGCAACCCAGTGAAAAAGGCCCTTTCACTTCACCATAATGAAGTGATATTATCCGCTTGGGCGAGGAAATCAATATCTGTGCTCCTGGGGAAGACCTTGGAACATATGGATGTCCGATCATTGAAGTAAGATCTTGCAGGGATGAGGCATTACCTAACTGTCTGGTGCTTTTGTGGAAGTTGAATAATCTGATATCACAAGTTTCAGAGCAAGCTCAATCCACGTGAATCATAGATGTCTCTCATATTGATGTTGCAAAGCGAATGCATTGCTCGGAAGGAACAGAGGGAGATCTAAGAAGAAACTGGGATGTGTGGAAAAAAATTTCATGTATTTGCATCCAAAATTCCAAATGCTTTTCATTTGTTGTACCTCTCAGTGCATACACACTAAATGAATAAACTTTTTTTCTCAACAACATTGGTGTTGTGCCTAAGAATAAAAGCATGAAGAGAATCAGTATTACAATGCGAATTCACAGAAACACTCTGGCAAGGCAAATCCTCTTCCGTTTGCGAAATCCTCTTTGTGGACTTCCCAGAGAGATTTTTTCAACTCCTTCCCTTCAAGTCCCTGGTAAGTCAGTTCTGCAAAAGCTCTTCGGCTCAAGAACAGGGTTTTATACATGCCTTTATATGCCCTCATTGCAGCAACCATTTTATCCATGTTCCCAAAATAAGTAGCTATATATGCATCACTGTTGATGGAGACATAATAATCCAAAGCAGCTTTTGTGTTGCCATGCATTCGGGTGAAATCTTCACGGTCAAGCAAAGCAGACTTGGTGAAGACATTTGTGTAAATGGAGGTGAAACCTTCCATCTCCATTAGACCATCCCCAGCTGCTAGATATATGTTTGTGCTTGTTGGGATGTTTAGCACTTGAAACATGAAAGCTGTTTCATTTGGAGTAAGAGGGCATTTTCCTCGCTTTCTCCAAGTCTGAGCTAATTCTCCTGTCCACGGCCTTCTATCTCCTCGAGCAGCTTCAATGGCAGCTGTTGATGCAGCGGACAGGTTTGTGTATTCACACTGGCTGTATGCTACCATGTCGGGTTCAAATCTAAGGTGAAGAGATAGAAAAGGCTTGGGAATAGCATCTAAAAGCTCAATGGCCTTCTTCTCTACGGAAGTAGCGAGGCGTAGAGCAGAGTAACAAGCTTGGCAGAAAGTGGCTTTTGCATACTGGGGATATCTGTTATGCATAAGGACATTGCAGAAATGTAAAAAGAAACAAGAAATTCCTTTTAATGGGGGAATAATCAGACAATTCCATTGTAAGAAAATCTGCACCTGTCTCTCCGTTGGCTCATTGCGGGTGTGATGGAAATGATGCGATGTTCCAACAACGATGGAAGAACACTTTCGATGTAATCAAATTGACCTTTCCTTTTGCTGCAATCTACTCTAAATGGTTCCTTTGAAGCAATTTCTGGTGGTAGTTCCTTGACCACTTTGATGAAGCCTCTCATCTTTTTAATGAAGTAGTCAACATCAAATACATCTCCAAATCCACTGCAGCAAGAACATCACAGACATTAACAGAACTGAGATTTTCTTTTAAAGCTTGATTTCAGGCAAAGCTAAGAAAAAATCTACACTTGGAAGTAAAAGAAAAATACAGAGTATCACCTTGACTCATTCCAATAAGCAGCTACCTCAAACTTTGGCAAAACAAGAGTGGCATTTAACAAACGGGCAATTCCAACGCCATCACAAAACTGTATGCAGCATCACATGATCATAAACGATTAACTCTTTCAGTTCAAGGCAGAACCAGAAGTTTCAAATCATCATATCGATCATTACAGATGGAATAAGATATAATAATACATCATGTGTTTCAAAACTTACGTCTCGTCTCATCTGATTGAGGCCACCATAGCAATCTATACGGATGTATCCGTTGCTTTCAGCTGGTAGAGCTGCAGGATTTGAACAAAAAACCAAAGCAGTTGTCTGCAATGAAGGCCGATCAAGAATTTGACTCAGGATATAAAAACAACAAAAATCAAACATAAAACTTCAACGCACTTAGGATACTATTCATTTTTTCCACAGCATAAGAGCATATTTTCACAATGATTCGCTGATCCAAGCTTCTACTAAAACGTTCAACTTTCTCAGATCCAAGCCAAACTAGTCAATGGAATCAGTTAATAGCTTTCAAGCAAGTAAATGACTATCTTACAAGACCATCTACAGATAATCATGGCTTAAAACAAAAAGCTTCTTCTCTAGCTTCGCAAGAACTAGATCTGAAACTCTCTTCTCTCTCTCTTAACTTAAGCAGTAAAAATGTTACATCAGATTCATCATTGTCTCGTACTAGCAAAACTACTGAGAACCCTAAACTCAAAACTTATGAAAAATTGTCTTAAAAACAGAAACATTGAAAAGAACAAAGAAGAAAGAATCATACGTGTCAAATGCCCTTCTAACCACCATTTGCAAGGCCGCCATTCCGCTATCCTCTTGACACTCCATATATTGCTGCTTCTGCAGCATATGGTAAAGAAAAAAAAAAACATATTTTTTGGGGGTGAAGAATAATAAAACCTGATTTTACATGAAACATTTCTGTGAGCTAAACCCAAATCGTCCATATTCAATAACTAAGAAAATTTCAAACCTTTCTTCTGAAAGTTCCAAGAAAAACTAAACTTTCTGCAAACTAGAAACAGCCCTTTAATGCATTGCACATTTGATAAGATCCCAATTAGTAAAACCCATCAACCGAATCGAGATACCCAACAAAGCACACCATCCAACATCCAAGTATCTGAAATTCGCCCATTTCACGTTTCGATCACTGGACTTTCTCGTGAACAAAAATCAAAGCAACAAGTGAAACCCACGGCGGAAAACAAGAATAACTTACACCGACGAATCCGAAGGAGCATGAGTCGGCGGGAACTGTGGCGGCGGAGAGAGAAGAATAACGACGAGGAGGAGAGAGAAAGTCAAGATAAAGACGAAGAGGGGCTTCACCGGAAATGCGATCATTTGATGTTTTGCTCTAATTTCGATCTGCAACTATACTCCGATCGGTGTAAGCAATGCGTTCCAGATCTGTCGGCCTAACGTCGGTGCACCTCTTACTGTTCCTTTTTTTTTTTTTGCGGTCACGTTCGCTGTTCCCCTTTATCTCTTATTATTTTTGTGGTTTTATTATTCGATTTGTATAAAAAAAAAAGGAATTTGCATAAATGGCAAATATTCCTCTCATCTCTTTGGCCACATTGTAGTATTAGCAGATATTATCTTCGATTTGGATTGTTTCTTTTTTAGTTGATCTTTTGTTTTCTTAGACTTTTATTTAAGTAATTCAAACATAATTGAATGAGAAATTTTTTATACGATTTGTTATAAGGTATTATAATTTATTGTCATGGAATATACGATTCTTTTTTTTATCAGATCACCGTAATTATATAATAAAAACTAAAGTTCCAATATTGCAACACCAATAGGATGTTAGCATGCATTGGCCATAAATGTATATATTCAACTTGTTTGTATGTATATATATAGCACACATGGGCATATACACAAGGCCATATATGTATATATAGTTCTTAATTAAACATTTTCGTTCAGCACAAAAATAATTACGGGTTGTTTAACCAAAAAAAATAAGGATTACGGGGGACGTTCAGCACTAGCGAACACGTTCCACAACCAGATGACGTGTCACGATCACCATACATGATGATACGAGACCGCAAGTCAACAGCAGCACACCACGTGTA